ATAGAATAAAGATGTAAAGAAACTGGGATTTCTTGTAATTTTTCATGGGTTGAATCTTGTCTACCTTCATTGAGTTATTCACAGTTGAAATTGGGGTTTTTGAGAGGATTTAGTGAAGAAATTGTCAGTGAAGATTAATTCCGTTCACAAATCCTGCAGAACACAAAGCAAGCACAAATTGGCTCTTTATGTAGAGAGGGTGGAGTGGGGAGCACGGGCATGGTGGCGGAGGCGGGGGGATATTTCCTGGATTATGCGCATGGTTCTTTTAGAAATACAAAAGTTGATGTCAAACTCATTCTTTTTGGAAAAGCAGTGGCAGGCTATAATGGTGGTCATAAAATTAGGTCGTGTTAAATACCTCTTTTGTCCCTGAACTTCCACCCATGTTAATTTCTATTGTCAAATCTTTTAAAATTGTTTCCAATCCTCCATTAAACTTTCAAATCTGACTTAGAGCTTATATGAGCCTCATTTTTGTCCAAGATGTATTTTAAAATAGTATTTTGATGAACAATGTGCGGTTAAAAAATAAGAAAAGTTTTGAATTTATGTATAATATTATTTTATTGGAGAATATCTGATTAAAATAAGGAGAAAGAAAAATGTATTAAATTAAGGTCAGAAAGTGGCATAGTTTGAATTTTTCTCTCTAGATCTATATATCCCTCTTCCCTCATTTCCCTAGTGTTCTAGTAGTTTTTTTGTTTTTTAATGAACAGAGCAAAAAAATGCATTTAACGTTACATCTATGGACAGATCTGCAGGTAAAATTTGTGATTCTCTCACTTCCCTTTTGCTTGCAAAATTCAAGAACGTATAAATATTCTCTCAGTTCCTTATCACATAAAAAGAAAACTCATGTTTTGATATCCTGTAAGAAATACAGTGATTATAAGCTGTTTTTGTCGAAAAATAATCTGAAACTTCTTGTTGACCTGGTGGTTCTAAGTCTGATCTGGTTCTGATCTGGTTGTCCAAAAGGTTTGGTCTTAGGGCACCCCAGAATACTTAGGTTGTCAATCAAAAATGTAGATCTGTACAATATCCTTTCATTTTCATATGTTATGTTTGATTGTTCTAACAAGTTTTGAACTGTAATAGCATTTGGACAATGAAATCAACAGAATCAAGAAAGAGAATGATAGGATGCAGACTGAACTCAGGTTAGATTACTCTTCTCTCTCTTCACACACACACACTAATTTGAACCAAAACGGAACACGACATGAAACGAGTAGAAACGCTATTTCTAACAGAAGTAAGACGTGCTTTGAGTTTAAACATTTTCTAGGATCTTGAAGAGTTTTCAATTGTCGAAATGGAAATGCTAAAATTTCAAGAAGTTTCCTAGCATCAAATACCTTCATGTCTTCTTATATGTAGCTTATCAATTTCAGGCATCTGAGTGGAGAGGACATAACAACTTTGAACTACAAAGAGCTGATGGTTTTAGAGGATGCTCTTGAAAATGGGATATCAAGTCTCAAAGCCAAACAGGCAATGTCCCTTCATTTTTCTTCTTCTTCTTCTTCTTCTTCATTTTTTTCTAAAATTTTTATCCCAACTGCCTTTCGATTCATGTGATCTTCATATAATCAAGTAACAATCTGATGGTTGACCTTTTTTTCCCCTTTTTTTGACAGATGGAGTTTGTGCCGATGATGAGAAAACATGTAGGGCTAACTGCTGATAATAATTTATTTTGCAATTATTTAATACTATATACTACATTGTTACTTATGTTTTATATTTATATTCAAATGTTATTTGCTCATATATGTTCTTCTGGCGAACATCGTTTCAGAATGAAATGCTCGAGGACGAGAACCAGGGGCTCCAATTCAAGCTGGTAAATCTTTTTCTCTGCTATATACACAACATGCATGGAATATTGTATCATTTTGTTAATTTAATCAGTACCTTTAAGGCTAAGTTACCTTAAGATCCTAAATTTTGTACATAAGATGTTAATCAAAGTTGAAGTGCACCATATATAAATGAATACGTGCATTCAAGTTCAGCAAAATTCGCATGCCTAATTAATTCCACTAATTTACAGCGGCAGATGCATTTGGATCCGATGGATGATCACAATGGGTTAGAAAATGGGGATGTTTATCATCAGCAGGGAATCGGAGACTACGCGTCACAAACGCCTTTCGCCTTTCGTGTGCAGCCAATGCAGCCGAATTTACAGGATCGTTTCTAGTAGCGCTGCCTGATGCTCCTATTACATAATATATAAATAAATAACCTATGTGGCTGCTTAATTTGGTTTCTTCGAAGAAAATCTTAGTTAAGATTTGTAAGCTTAATTAGGTTGTATGAAACTGTTTCAATTGTGTTTGCCTTTGTCCTAAGGTTTTTAGCCTGACTTATATATGGATGTTATTTTAACAGTTACATATGTTTGTTCTATTAGTATTTAGTTACCATATTAGTTAAGGTTATAATTAGAAAACACACTAAGCAAGGGGATGAAACTGATCTCAAACTACAAGAATGTCTTTAATTGTAAGTATTATGTCCTAAATCCAATCGATTTAGATTATAAACACTTTTAACATAATAAATGCATTTTTATATTTTGGCAAAATCTATTATTTAACAACATTGCTACATTTACAGAAAAACCTTTACAGATTCTATACGGGGAGATTGTCTCCTTATGATTAGCTCTCTCTCTATATAGAATTTGTAAAGGTCTTTCTGTACAATTAGATTAATTCAGTATTTAATTGAATTTATTTTCTAATATATTAAACTAATAGAGTTCATAGATTCAAGTCTTAGTAACTTATAAATCACAAGAAGTTGTGATAGTGAAAAATAAATTGGATATGACTATATTTTAAATCATCTTTAATCGTAAGTAATAACGAAATACGGATATCGTTATTACGAACAGATTAGCACGTATGAAATTTATCACTTGTGGAGTGAGTAGCTGATCTTACAAACTAAAATGAAATGATATTTAAATGGACATGTGGATGCTTTGTTAAGAAAACAAAATATTAGAGAGCCGCTGGAGAGATTCCACATGGATAGGTAGTTAAACTTTAACACACGTTAGTGAAATTGGTCATTCGACTTGAGGTCATCATAGATGCTAAAAGTCAATAATACGACATCGTTCGGGTATGCCAATAATTATATGGAGGCTGTGAGTGATTAATAGAGAATTCATCACTTTGGGATAACGACAGATTTTAATCTACATTTCGTTTAGTTAAGCAAATAACTAAGTCCTTGTTAAGGTGTGCTTGTAAGTTGGAATAGAGTTTTCGACTTATAATGATTTAAATGTAGAATGAAATATATGATTAATAAACGAGATTGACACATTCCATATCCATATTGATGAATGAATTATAGTTTCATGATAAACGAACAAATTTAATTTTGTCATATCACATGATATTTTCCGCCACTTATGTTGTTTTGACACATTGCTAAATATCAATTTAAGACGAGAAATATAAATTGATTAACTTAAGTGAATTAATGATAAATTAAAATGTGTTTTGATTTATCTTATGTTGATTGAACAAAATAATAATACACGCTATTAGGTATCGTGATAAGAAATCTAATAGATCACACATAGAATGAGAATTAGATTAATGAAATATATTAATTAATTAATTGTTTTGCTTATTAATAGACTAAGTTAATTAATTAGATTAATTAATTTATAAACCAATTTTAAATAATTGAATTAATTAAAGAATAATGTTATTTAGCATCAGTGATGCTATAACACCAGTCAAAATGCGATAGGCTCAATTAAAGGTGGAGTTATGAAAATCATTTAATTGTGCCTATCAATTAGTGGCAATTAGGTGTCATTTAGACTGGTGTGTAACACCAATGATGCTAAATAGCCATACTCTTAATTAAACATTGGACTAGATTTGGTTTAAGGGACGTGCCAAACCCCCTGGACCTCTATTAAGAAGTTGCTATAGTTTGAGAAATCATTACTGCAATTATTATTTTCTTGCTAGTACAAGAAAAATGAAACTATATTCTCTCATTCTTGTTCCATGTGTGCATTTTTATTGGAGGCTAGACAATTGGACAACTGTAAATTGTAGATAAGTCTTTATTATAGTTTCTTTCTAAACACTAAGAAGATCATTGGTGTGAATTGAAATATTGTTTAAATTTCGTTGTGCATATTAAGTAAATTTTCAATAGTGATATAAGAGCTTACTTTATACTTGTTAGAAACTGTTTCACATGCTATAACAATCAAAAGTTGATTCTTCATAGCGCAATTTGTAGTTGCAGCAGACGTCGATGTTGACGCTTCTGCAGCACTATCGTAGCTGCTATGTTGGGTGGCAGGGTACCGCCACCTAAGTCGGTGCCACCCACCCAAACCTTCGATTTAGGGTGTTTTGGGGTGCGAGGGCCTCCTTGTAATTTATGAAATTTCATGCCCTCGCCAACAAATAAAGATTTGAGTGTCAAATTGCAATTTTAAAATAAAGGACACGTCATGCAATTTTCGAAATTGAAGGAAATGTTTTTAATTTTAATATATGGATCATTNNTTTTAATTTTAATATATGGATCATTTGCAATTTTAAAATAATTTTGAATTTAAATGTTAAAATAGTTTTTAAGTTTAATTTCAAAATGGATTTTGACCCAAAATTCAAACTTGACCCAATTAAAATATTATTTAAATTGACGACTTTTATATTATTGTTAAAATTGAATTTTAACTCAAATATTAAATTTTGACCTAAATTAAATTTTCTTTTATTTAGGAATTCTATCCTGAATTAAAATATTATTAGCATTAGAGTTAGACTCTAATTTGACTCTTAATTAAAAATTGATTCTAATTATATTATCCCACATTATTATATTCTTAGACGAAGAGATTGACTCTAATTTGAAATTTTAATTAAAAATTTGATTTTAATTAAATTGACTGTTAATTAAATAAATTGATTATTTTGATTAATCAATTATTTAATTACTCTGATCCATGTATCTAAATAAGTTTAGAGACTATAATTGCTAGAGTCTTGAAATATTTTAGCACATAATATTAGATATTATATAGNTCGCTAATTAAATTAATTAATTAATTTGATTAATTAATTATTTAATTGTTCCGATCCATTTGTCTAAATTAGTTTAGACGACTTTAATTGCTAGAAACTTGAAACATGTTTGCATATAATATTAGATATTATATAGGAATGCATTTATTTTATGAATATTTAATTAGTAGATGATTATGGATTCTATCATATGGATATGTTGAATGATTAGTTTTATTTTTGTTGTATTGTGGGTTTGCGAGCTCTTAATATTTTGGACCCGTGAGTCCATTATTATTATTTTGGGTATGTGTGTCAATTCTTTTAAACTTGCGTACCAACTAGTATATGATGCATGTTGCAGCTGGAGATACAACAAGAAGAGGAGACGATGGAGATGGAGCATTAATGTGTCAATTCTATAACCCCATAGAAATTTACCAGCTAGTCTTTCCTTTGGGTCTGGAAGGCTAGATAGAATTAGTCCATAATCGCCAACACTATTATATGTATGTTTATTTGCAAAATAAAATTTTAAAAATTTGGAATTATGGGTGACATATATAAACAAAATTAGATTTAATTTGCAAAAAATAAAAAGTTTAGGTACTGAAATTCCAATTATTCCTTTTTAATTTTGACATTTTCTTATTGTTTTTAATGGAAAATCTGGGTTTTTCACAGAAAAGGTTTCAAACTGATGGGTTTTATACGATTCTCAATAGGTGAAAGGTACAT